ATTCGGGCAGAGTGATTTGTCACAGTGCTGCCTGCAGGCCACTGATTAGTTTTTCAGTCATCCTAATCAAATAGAAGCTTATTTAATTCGTATAATAGCATCTTGAAAAAGTACACTGACCAGTTTGTTCAAATCCAAATGTATCCACTGGTTTAGAAATTAAATATGAAAAAGAATTCTATTTTACCAGCATCTTTGGATCTTCCCTGACCATTAATTTTCAGGGACTTTTCCCCATTATTGACTCAGAAGAAATAAAATTCTCATATGTCCAACTGATCCACCAACCAGTAGAACCAGAAAACCTAGAAGTCTTGGTAATTCTTAAAATTATAGTAGCAAATTAACAATGGTTAATTCAAGGGAAGTAAGAAAAAACAGAGCAATCACATGGGTGAAGACAAATTGATATTTTAAAAAGAGTGAGAGAGAAGAATTAAGCAAAACATGGAAAAACTCTTCTCTCGGTTCTGAAATACTTAGAGAAGTTTTTGAAGTAGCTAATCAAACTTTTAAACTAACTGTAGTTAGTATTTATAATTAAAATCAAGCTATGAAAGTCCTAAACAGGAGACTCTTAGGTAGTTAAAAAGCACATGAGAATAATGGAAGTGTGGAAAAAAGTATTGAAATTATGAGGATAGACTATAGAGACTTTTTTAAAAAAACTTAAATTACTAAAATCTACACAGGTATAAGTCTCTAGAGTTGAAATACTATAGCGTTGCTGTGGGTAATTATAGCACATTCAGGCTATTGCTCTAAAGACTAAGCACATCCTAATATACTGGAAGTCATGCCAGAGGCCATTATTATAGGTAACTCGTTAGTAACTCCTTAACAAGTCAACTAACCATTCCCCAACTTAGTTTTGAAATAATATAAAGCTGACTAAAATAAGTGCTATAATATTGGAATACCTAACATGCTGAGGGAATCTAGAGAAAATTGTGATTCATTCCTAATTTTAGTAGAGGGCAGAATTATTATAGCAACATGGCCTTTATGTGGGCCTTCAAGAATGGGCAAATCTTGGAAATTATGTCTGGTTTATATGACACACATTCAGAGAACAATTATAAAATGTTCATCAGTAAAAAGAAGACCTGTTGTCCCATAAAAAACAACTCGTAATCCCATCACTTGGGAAAAATATCATTGTTAACATCAATTTTTTTCTATATGCAGAGACATATACATTTATAATATTTATAATAAATGTGCAGTTTTCTTACAACTTCCTCCCAATATGTGGTATGTTCACATCTTTCTGGATGATAATGTCTTTATACATGTATATTTTATTAAGCAATTATCATTTTGTGGAATTTTTTATTTCTAGCTATTTGTTATGACAGATATTTAAAAAGTGCTAAGACATCTTTCAACAACATGTATCTTTGAGTACTCATGAGATGATTCCCTCAGGAGAATTCCTAGAAGTGGGCTTGCTGAGGGTTGACATATATTGATGTCCTCTTTCCTCTATAATTTGTTAACGTGCTGTTTTAGTATATAACTCGTGATTCCATGTCTCTGTTCAGTATTACATCTTTGCCCACCTTTCAAGCCAAATAACCCAAGATTTATTTATATTCACTATCTCCAATTCTTCTCCCTTCCTCTCTTATAACCTTTACAGTAAGGTCTTTCCCAACCACTCCACCAAAACTGCTCTTGTCAAAATAATCAATGAAAAACACCCTTTCCCCACATTTTGTTAAATCCTGTTGTAAATATCATTTATCATCTTACTTGACCATACAGTAGCTTTTGAGATAGAGATAATTCCCTTCTTTCAGAAACATTTCTTCCCTTCAATTCCCAGATACCACACACTCTTGGTTTCTCGTCTACCTTACTGGCCACTCATTCTGTCTCCCCCATCCTATAGACACTCATTCCCTTGGTAATCTCATTAAGTCTCATAGTTTTTTTAAATTTTTTATTCTATTTTTCCATTATAGTTGGCATTCAGTATTATTTTATATTAGCTTCAGGTAGATATCATAGTGGTTAGCCATTTATATAATTTACAATGTGACACCCCCCTCCCCAATAAATCTAGTACCCACCTGGAACCACATTTGTTGGGAAATTATTGACTATATTCCCCATGCTGTACTTTATATATCCCTGTGACTATTTTGTAACTGCCAATTTGTACTTCCTTAATCCCTTCACCTTTTCACCCAGTCCCCTAACCACCCTCCCATCTGGCAACCCGCAGGCTGTTCTCTGCATCTATGAGTCCATTTCTGTTTTGTTTGTACATTTATTTTGTTCTCTAGATTCCACATATAAGTGAAATCATGTGGTATTTGTGTTATTCTGTCTGATTTATCTCACTTAGCATAACACCATTGAGGTCCATCCATGTTGTTGCAAATTAAGTCTCATAGTTTTAAATACCATCTCCCTGCCAATGAACTCCACCTATTCTCTATGGCCTAGTCCTCACTCTTAGATGCCAAATTCAAATATCCAAACTCATTGCAAACTTAGTAGGTCTGAAATTCAACTCCCAATCTTTAAAAACTAAGACAACATGCCCTCTCGTTTTTTCCACTCTCTGCAAATGACAGCGGTCACCTTCCAGTTTCCCAAGTCTAAAACAGAATCCTTGGTCTTTCTTTTCATCTTACACCATGTTCAGATCAAGAAATCTTGGCTCTGCCCCTAATATATATCTAGAATTGAGAATCTCACCACCTCTACTGCTACTACCCTGGGACCATTATTTCTCCCCTGAATTATTAAAAGCCCCCAACTGGCCTCCCTGCATTTGCCCTTAACCCCTATATCTATTTCACACAGAGGCCTGAGTGATCCTTTTAAAGTGAAGTCGAATCTCATCACTCTCTGCTCAAAAAAACTCCATGTGGCTCTTCCTTTTTACTTAGTGTAAAAGCCAAATTTCTGACAATGTTCTATCAACCTTGCACACTGTGCTGCCCTCCCACCGCCACATATCCTCTCTGACCTTATCTTCTACTTTCTTCCTGGCTGGATGCTCCAGCCACCCTGACCTACTGGCATTGTAAGAACTTACCAGGTATGTGCATGCCTCAGGGCCTTTGTAGTGGCTGTTCCCTTGGTCTATAATGCTCTTCCCTCCTCTCTTCTTTGCTCAGCCCCCTTAAATAACAGCTTTTTGCTATCACTTTCCCTACAAAGAGATGCTGACTTCCTTCTCTAAAATGCTCTCCTTCCTTCAGCATTTACTTTGCTCCTTCACTGCTTTTTTCTATAGCATTTATCACCTTCTGATATATATTTCTTATTTGCATAACTTGTTTCTCTTGGTCCCCAAAAACATATCCATGGAAGCAAGAATTTTTCTCTTACTCATTCAGTGCTGGAGGAGAGTCAACATTGCAGATGCATATGTAATGCTTTTGATCCAGACTTCCAATTTGAAGGTATTTAAGTAAGTAGATAAGGTGGGGAAGGATGGTCCATGTTGAGGTCATAATATTGGCAAAACCAGTGACATGCAAAAAAGAAAATACTGGACTGGCCAGGTGCTTCTAGTGTTGTCAGTGTGAGGATATGGCTTGACTTAAAATAGAAACACATCAATGGTACAGGGCAACATTTTAACTGAAAGCACAAAATCAACTTACTCCTCAATCTATAATAATAAAAATGTAATATGCTAATTAGGCCAGACAGATGAACGACCTTCTGGATGTCCTTCCGGACAATCTTCTGGACGAAGCCGGGGCTGCGAGGGCTGAAGCAAGCTGCCGCCTCTGCGAGGGCTGAGCCCCTTGCACGAATTTCGTGCATTGGGCCTCTAGTAAGAAATAAAAGGATGAAACGACAAAGGAGTTCTACAATAGGATGCTGATTGAGGCACTGAAAAATTCAGTGCAAACTTTTATCATAATAAGAAGTTTGGCAAAGTACCAAATTGTAGCAGGGAGAGCATCTATTTTTAAAAAGGCGGTGGACACTATGGATCCTTCCAAGAATATTAGATGTATCTGCAAAGTTCAGAGTTCACCACCCCAAAACCTATCCATGAACCAACTGGGGCCAGTGATTGAGACTCTTAAGAAAAAAAAAAAGGCCCAATTAAGAAATATTATTTCAGCGTCATGGCAATCACTTGGATGGAATGATGCTTAAATAAGGATGTGGGTAGTTTCAACGCTGAGGTGCAACAGTTTGGGTAAAAATGTGAAGCTTAACTTTACTTACCTAAAGGAAAGAGAATCCAACCACCTTGTCTTAAATGTTTTTGCAAATATGTAGAAGTAAACATCCCAAAGTTACCTCTGTGAACCTTTACATTGAACGTTTCTTATTTTACGTTTACAAATAATGTTATATTTTACAAGATAGTCAGTAGGAGGACTGTTCTGGTATCAGTAATTTGATTTTTTTTTTTAAATTGAAACCAGTAAACATTCCAGCCAGTCTCAGCTATTGTCTGTCTGGCTTCTGTACAACATTATCATTAGCATCTTTCATCTAAATAATTCACTAAAATGTTATTAATGAGTCTTGTTTCTCTACCAAATACCCCTTCTCTCCGTACCATATTATCCAGGAATAATTAAAGGAAATTCAGCTTGGGTAGTTTTTCTGGCTCAGCTCTGTCTCTGGAGAAGGATGCGGGAAGGGAGAGGAAGGGAGAGGGTCTTACATCTAAAAATAATCAGTTCTTTATTCTCTAAGACCATTCGTTGCACTATGGAGCTAACGCAGAGAACTCCTCTGCCTGAAACCTGTTTCGCATCTGATATTTGATGCCAGCCCTTACAGTGATAAAGGCCACGAAGCAAATCCAGAGGCACTGAATTTACATACAATCAGCCTTGAGAGGTCTCTCTGGTTGGTTTCTTTTCCCTGTTGTCACTCATTAGGGAACGAGTTTACCCACAGCCATCAGCCCAGCACATCCAAGCTGGACCGGGGCCAAGAAGGAGCAGCACTGCTGAAATCTGGGCAGCGAGGTGGAAGGGTGAGTGGGGCACCGGTTGGATGAAAACATGCGAGGCCTGCTGGGCAGCAGCTGGAGGAAGTTTGGGCATGCCGGCAGGGGCACCTACGAGTGGCTGACGAGCGAACCCAGCCTACCTCTTCAGGAAACCCAGCTGCAGGTCTGTACCTATGACTTCTGCCTTTTCTTCCCCAAGTACGTCAGGTTTAAACCAACAATGCCTGTATGTTTAGGATCTTAAAACTTAGTGGCAACATGTTACATGGTGGGTATGACAAAAATCCGATTTCACTGATTGGCGTGGTCTAAGGAAGTAACTTGAAAGTTGTATTTCTTTTGACAATGATAAATTCAAGTAAAACTTGACACATGTATTCTAAGAATACCTGATATATCAAGTATGTCAAAGAATACCTGAAGTTAGGGGCCAACAAAATGTTATGCCTTGGTTTTACAGTTTTGTTCTTTGCTCAGTAAGTAATGTCTACACATACAAAACTAAGAAACTTCCTTTGGCTCTCCGGCTGAGTAATGACCACTGTTTCTAAGAGAAGCCAGGATCTTACTTCCAAAAGGGTAGCAAAGGGTTAAGGAGGTTCTGTCTCAACTAGGACAGCTGCTCTGCTCTGTCTGGGAAATCACCAAAGAAGCTTCAAGCTGAGAAGCATTAAGGTAAAATATTGGTAGAAACCTAAGACTCAGAATTAATTTTATCATCAGTAGGGAAATGAGTGGGACCGCTATCCCTTAAGAAAAAGGGAAACAGACCTATTTTCTTGTTTCCTGGAAAATCAGCTGATCAGATTGGTATGTAAGTTCTGCAAAACCACCTTTTACAGAAAAACATTTATACATGTATATATAATATTTTTTTCAGCAGTTACACTTTTAACTGGATATTCCTTTAAAACATTTCCTGAACAACAAAGTCTTTACGTCAATATACACATCAGAGATATATTAAAAGTTAAGAAACCACTTTGAAGGAAGTGAACAAATCAGGACATCTAATTAAAGAAGTAAAGACGTCCATTCTGCACTTTGAAAAAGCAGAACAATTTGAACCTATCATGAATCAGTAAATAAGCAAATTAAGGGTGCCATAAATGTGTCCTGCAGCTCTATGCATCTCCTAACTGGAAAACAGGAACTCTTTATCTCAAGAAATTGTCGTAATCTGCTGCATCAGATAAGCAGTGCCCCTCAGTATTTGGACAATTTAACTCTGCCCGTGGAAGTTCTGATTACAGGAGCGGACTGTGGTATTTCTCCTTTCACAGATTTTTGCAGCTAGTATTGCTAATACCAAAAGTGGCATAATGGTGAATAACAGGGTTTATTACATAAAGCCTTTTAAATAGAACTTTAAGTATCTTTATGTCTTATGCATATTGAACTTCCAGTCTATAATAGAGTATTTAAATGTTGATGCCCACAACTGTTGAGAAACTATGATCATCCGTAAAACGGATGGGGAATTTAAAAAAAAATCATGCAAAATGGTCCATGTTTATCAAGATTGATGAGTGATTTTTTTTAGTACTAAGAGATAATAGCTTTAAATTTTTTAATGGTTCATTTAGAGGGAGAAAACATAGTTAAGTTGCTTTTTGATTTCTTAAAAATTGTGGTAAATTATTTATGAGTCCATCTACTCTTATAGCTTTTGTAATCAAAGTCCCTCATTACATCACAACAGATTTTAAGTGAATAGTTCTGATAATAAACTAGATTATGTGTGAGAAAACAGAAAGAACACATAGTTTAGAAATATTAAGAATCACACACATAAAAATATATCTTCTCTGAAAATATTTATCTATTAAAATACAAACTTAGGAATGTCAAATTTTCCCCTCACTAAATTTTTCAGCCTATCAATAGATACAAATACATAATAAACACCTAATACCCACCAAGTGCTTTACATATAGTGATTCACTAAATTCTCACGCCAACCCGTTCAAAAATGTTATTTTCATTTCCTAGGGAAGAAAACCTAGGCCCAGAGGGCACCAGCGAGTGACCCGGGTCACACAGGTACTGGAAAGTGTTCTGAAATCCAAAGCCAGAGTGCTCAAACCCCAAACATGACACTCTGCTTCCCAACAAAACCTTTTATTTTTGTGCACTTTAAGCTAAAATTTCTTACCAAAGACAAACATCTGGCAGTACAAATATTAAATCACCCAATTTTCAGTCAACACACATACTTATAAATTCTTTAAGAAGTAAAAATAATTATATAGTCAATGCTAGATAAGCCAGTCCCTTAGAAGGTCATGATCAGAAAAACAATTGTTCTTTCCACCAAAATCAAGAGAACCCAGCTCAGTTTTATTATGTTTTATTTTAAACAAGTCGATAAAGAGCTTAGTATTTTGTTGTCTTAAACACAATTATAAGGCTTTAATTTTTTTTATTTTCCTCTTAGTAGTGGGTACAAATATTTACATTTGCTGCTGTACGCTTTATATAATAAAGAAGCTTTTTAATATTTCATTATTTCCTAGTAGCTTCATGTAAAGTAACATCTATGCAATTTGCAACAGTATTTATTTTTGTGTTATTTTTCTACCTTGCTATTCAAGTATCATTTCATGCCTGTTATAGTATTTACTCCATCAGGACTCATAATTATCTTCTGAGCTAATACTAAAAATCAAGAATTTATGTGCAATTCTTTTCCTTAAGAGTTCAAACTTTTCCATTTTTACCCTACAAATATTTCAAGAAAAAGAAAAATTTAAATCTATCATTATAAGAATCAGCTATCAAATCAGATTAGAAATGTTATTTACCTGTGATATAAATACATGTCAGATTTTGCTCCACAATTAAAGAAATTAAGTTCCATAGGATTCGTTTGTGGCAATAAAACGTTTATGGGTCTAATTCTAAAGAAAATACATAAATAGTTAGAGCTATTCAAAGAATGCGTGGTGGACCTACTTTCTAAAATGTATTCTAATACATTTATGTATGTATCCTTTAGGGGAAATACTGTAGGGTGTCATCAATGTGAATTTTGGACATGTTAAATCCATACTTTATCTTGTCACTTCGCTTTATTCCATGCAGGCTCAAGTTCATTGGCATAAGTGAATGAACGAGTGATTTCTAGAGTGAGTGAGTCATGATCAGAAGAATGAGAGATGAAAGGCAGGCAGGGCGCGTCTGTCGCCATCTCCTAACTCGGTCGCATTCTCACTCCAGGGCACCCAGCAGATCAGCTCCGCCAAAGACGACGTGGAGCCCTTCCTGTGCATCCTGCTCCCCGCCACCATCGTGCTGTTCCTGGCCTTCCTGCTGCTCTTCCTGTACCGCCTCTGCAGGGCGCCCCGGGCCCAGGGCCAGGTCTTCACCATCGACCTGGCCGAGCACCCGCCCGCGGGCGAGGAGACGGACTTCCTGCCGGGCCTGCCCTGGAGCGGGGAGCAGGACTTCCCCTACTCGCCCCTGCCCGCGGAGGCGGCCCCCCTGTCCGCGTGTCTGCCCCCCTCCTACGAGGAGGCCACCAGGAGCCCGCCTGGGGAGGAGGCCCCCGGCCTGGGCCTTCCGGAGGAACAGGGGCCACCTGGGCTGCATGAGCCCATATGAACTGCTCTTGGAAACCATTTAAAACCCAGCTCTCACCCTGCATGGACCAGGAGGCCGACCCCTGGGTGCAGGGGACATGAGGCTGGGGACAGGCTGGACACAGGTCAGTCCAGTTAACCCATCCTCAAGCTCCTTAAGGAAAAACTTGCCCAGCTTGTTCTAAAGATGTCCGGGCTCTTCTAAAATGTGTAACACTCGCGAGGAAAAAGTAAATAAAAGGAAAGTTCTATGTACGCCGAGACAAAATTAGAATTACTAGTGAGCATAAGAGCTAGCTCCGAAGAGACAACAGAAAAATGCTGAGAAGCCAAAGATAACTGCTTTTGCCACAAATAAAACGTTTCCTCCTACACAGGCCTATCAGGCCTCCTGGTCTCCCTTCTGGGCGAGGGCTTCAGGCGGCCAGAGAGCTCCAGGAGGAAAAAACACCTCTAGAGCCTAGTGGTCCACCGTGTTGTGAATAACGGTGAAATGTCTCAATATTAATAATGAAAGTACAGATGTTTGCATACATTTTTGTTCAAAAAATAATAAAGCTCTCCCAAATCATCTCCTCCTTAGTGTGGCTCTTGCTTCCTGGGGTGGGAAGGGTCGGGTTAGCTGCGTGGGCACGTCTCGCCCTGCAACAGCGGGGGACGAAGAGCTGCTGCTCTGACACCCGATCTCAGGGGACACTGTGACCGAGGGAGGCCCGCACCAAGCAGCACTCACACAGTAGAAATCAGTGTAGCGTTGGAAGGTGAAGGTCAGAATTTGGATCACCTGAGCAACATGGATTAGCTCTAACCTTATACATCACATAGTTCAAACTCTTGCTTCACAGGTGTCAAAACTAGAGCTCAGAGCAGGGGTCCTCAAACTACGGCCCGAGGGCCACATGCAAATACAAATATTGTATTTGTTCCCATTTTGTTTTTTTACTTCAAAATAAGATATGTGCAGTGTGCACAGGAATTTGTTCATCGTTTTTTTTAAACTATAGTCCGGCCCTCCAACAGTCTGAGGGACAGTGAACTGGCCCCCTGTTTAAAAAGTTTGAGGACCCCTGGCTCAGTCTAAGCGAGCAGTTCGATGTTCAATGCCTCCGAAGAGGCAGAGCCGGGCCTCTCTGCCCTGGGCCGCAGCACCTCCCAGGTGCCAGACGTTCTCCCAGAAAACTGCAAATGGGAATTTCAGTCCATGTCCCCGACCGGGGGTCAGGCCTCGCAGCAGGATGAGCCCAGCTGAGTTGGGACTAGATAAAAATCCCCCTTGGTGATTTCACGTGGGGAGGTGGAGGTGGGTCACATACCACTTGGGACACTGATCAGAATACCCATGAGGCTGGGGGGTGACATGTCCAGTCCTTAAATTCTTATTCCACAATATAACTTTTTGGGAAAATATTTTTTACTTTTTTTCAAAGTCAATGAACGGAAAATGGTGGCTTTTTAAACCGCTTTGGATGTGAACATTTTAATGCTAGATATGCAATGTGGCACAGTTTTAGGAAAATAAAATAATCTAAAATAGGATACATTTCTTTATAAATGTAGGGATAATAGTACCTTGGAGGACTGAAGCAAAACATAACCTATTTGAGTTCAAATGAATGCAAGTTCTTTCAGGAGATCTACATGGAACAATTCCCTTGCGGTCTTTAAGGGAAGTAAGTAAATAAATGGAAATGAGTGGCTCAGCAGACAGCCTGCTTTGGGTTTTATTTTTATTTTTTTAATCCTAAGGCTCTAGTTCTGTGTGAGACTCTGTTGATTCTCTCCCAACTGTGTTGTCTTCCTTTTCCTTGTTAACAGAACCCTGATTTGGTTCTGGGATCCTGGAGCCACCTATGTAAGTCAGACCAGAGCCCTCCAACGCCAGGGGACTTACATCCTGATAGTTAATCATGCGGATCTCGATGCCTTTACCAGGACTGATTTGGTTTGGGGGATTAAGGGAAGACCTATATAAAAAGAAAAGCTTGTGTTTTGCTTGTTTTTTTAAAGGTTGCCTAATGTTAAAAATAGATACATGAAAGGAAACACTTTGCCTCTTTGCTGGATGTTATGTGTCTGCATGTGATGCCCAGGGCTGCTACAGCCATCTTGCAACCATGAGGTAAGACAACAGCCAGGGCTAATACTGAACAGTGAAGAAGAAAGATGGAAAACCCCTGGGTTGATTGCATTCAGCAGAGCAGCTGAATTAACCCTGCAACTATCTATATATTAGTGAAAGCACACCCTTCCTACTGCTTTACACCATTTAAGCCAGGCTTGTTACTTCTAGAAAAAAGCATGTCAACTCCTACAATTTCCAAGGCTATTAAGGAAATGCATTGCCATGTTTTAAGATGTTCTAATAAGACTTATTTAAAATAGTCAAAGCCAGGACTCATTTGAATGTTATCTGAGATCGAGGGAAGGAAACATTTTCTCTTATGGAAGCAAACAAGCTGCGGAACAGGTAAACTGTTAGCCAGGCGTGGCCACACTACAGCCCACAGGCCAAATCCCACGTGCAACCTGTTATTGTACAACCTGAGAGACAAGAACGGTTTCCACATTTTTTAAATAACTGAATAAAACATCAAAAGAAGAAGACTATTTCATGACACATGAAAATTAAATGAATTAAAATGTTGGCGTCTATGAACAGTTATTGGGGCACAGCCAGGCCCACTTGCCTATGGCTGCTCCATTACATTTGAGTAGTCACAACAGAGACTATATGACTTTCAAAGCCCAAAATATTTACTATCTGGTTCTTTAACGAAAAAGTGTGCTGACCCTTGTACAGACCAGTGGATTTCAACCCTAGATGCCTGGTAGAATAACTCGAGGAACTTTTAGAAATACTGACACCAGGACCCACTTAGACCAATTAAATAGAAACAGATCCAGTGATTCTTATAATGAAGGCCAGGCTGAACGTCATTACTTTAAGTAACATGAGGGGCCACAAAATCCAGGTGAGCTTCCATGTACACAGACATACGGTAACAGGGTTAGAGAAAACTCAACGTATAAATGTAGCTTTGAGCCATTTTATAACCCGACATTCTTGGTAAACTCTTTCTGAAGCTATCAGCCTAACCTGCGGTCAACTGGATTCACCAAACAGGATTTCCAAGCAGAATATTAGGAACAACCGAGTAAACAGTGTATCCTTGTTTAAATGTTGACAGCTGGCAAGCACGGGTCGTACGGGTTGCTAGCAACCCAAGAAGGGCAGAGTGGAGTTGAGGAAAATCCACAAATGAAAGAACCAGACTGTTCACAGCTAAGAAGTCTTTTGGAAGAAATAACTGTAGCCAGAAAAGATTAAACATGGGAGGGAGTATAATAAAAACAGTGACTAGAATTTGGACATTTTCACGAAATTCTACCTTGGATGAGAAAATATCACTAATGCATAATTTTATAAAAAGAAAAAGGAGTCCATTTCTGGTCTGGCCTGTAAGAAGGTTGGTAGTCAAGGCTCTGTCCTAGCAACAAGAAAAAGCTGAACAAACTGGAAATTCAACATTTCTCCTTATTTCCATCAGAGAACTGAGGTGACAAACCACTGCCCCCAAAGAGACAGACAGACACAGAGAATCGTGACTCACCGGGGCAGGAGTCCACCAGCAGGAACCTCCTCGGGAACCAGTACCGACGGGGAAGCTTGAACTGCAATTGACGGACTGCGGGGCTTAGAGGACAAATCTCAGAAATAACTATCTCAGAAGGCCCCCGGCTTTGTGTCTTCTGCCCCCAGGAGCCCCACAGATTCTCCCAGTGAAGGCCTGAGAAAAATCCCCTGCAGCTTCTAGCAAGGGGCGGGGAAAAGGAACCACTTGGAAATCCACCAGAACTTTCTGCTCCTCTTAACAAGGCCTGCCCTCAGGAGACACCATTTAAACAGGGCCTCACCTGCCCTGGTTTTATCAGAGCCTGAGTGTTCTGGGGAAGGGAAATGCCCAGCCCCAGCTGGCTCTAGCCTAATGCAGAGGAAGGAAAATAGCCAGCCCCAGTCCCTCTGGCCACCTGGTGCCACTTAAGGGGGTGAAAAACAAAAAGAAAAACCAGAGAAGCACTTGTGAAGTTCCCTTTGCAGCGGCAAAGGCAGTTTGCCGACCACTGGGCAAAGGCTTCCAAGACTGACACCTAATCATAGGACTATGAACACGCCCCCAACACCCACCTAACCACCACAATAGTAAAGCCTACTTACTGCACTTTCCTTTACCCAGGACATCAAGTCCACCATTTTAAAAGGCAAAAAGAGACGGAGCAAGCATCAGAACCAGACTCAGATATGGCCCGGATGTTGTTGGAAGTGCCAAACCAGAAATGTAAAATAACTATGATTAATAGGCAAAGGGCGCTATTGGAAGAAGTAGACCACATGCAGGAACAACATGCAGTCAGCAGAGAGACGGAAATCCTAAGAGAGAACCATGAGAAATGCTTGAGATAAAAAACATGGTAACAGAATGAAGACTGTCTTTGATGGGCTTATTAATAAACTGGACATAGTTGAGAAAGAATCTCTGAGCTTAGGTATATGTTAATAGAAACTTCCAAAATGGAAAAGTAATGATTAAAAAAACAAAAACAAAACATACACACACACCACAGAACAGAATATCCAAGAACTGTGTGAGACAACTATAACAAAGGTGTCACATACCTGTAATGGGAATATCAGAAAAAGAAGAAAAAGGGAAAGAACCAGAAGAAATACTGAAGCAATAATGATGGCAAATTTTGCCAAATTAATGTCAAGACATAGATTGATCCAGGAAGCTCAGCACATTATGCAGAAATAATACAAACAAATGAACAACAAAAACCCTATACCTCCGCATATATTCAAACTGCAGAAAAGCAAGGATAAAGAAAAAAAATCTTGAAAGAAGCCATTGGACCAGGGTAGGGAAGGGGGGTGGGGAGGGAGAAACTTATCTATAGAAGAGCAAAGGTAAGAATTACACCTGACTTATCAGAAACCATGCAAGCAAGTGGAGTGAAATATTT